AGCTATACAACACAAAAATAAGCATAGATGGGGGAGATGGGGCTATAACTCTTAGAACGAACGACCAGGTCGTTACATCTTCCCCCTCTTAGGCAAACGCTCGTCCCTGAACGAGTCTAAGAACATACCTGGACTCTCAAATAGGTGAAACCTTTAGCAATACCTTCTCGTCACATTTAAATCATGTGAACTCATCTCGCGGTCACATCATACTCATCACGTACCCATCCAACCACCATTTCCACTAATAGGGACACTACCGGACATATAGGCCCACAAGCGCGCTCACACAATCAACACCTTAGTGCTCAATCTAGAGTCAAAACCCGGCCTCAAGTCCTCTAGACTGGCCCAATATCAACACATAGAAATCACATCTCGCAGCTCATCCGGGGAATCACAATCCGTCGATGCACAACTGATACCGAGCGCTCATGGGCACATACGAATGCGTGGAAGGAATTCAAAGAGTTACACTTCAAGCTGAATCAATACCGCACGATAAGAATTCAAGAATGTGAAGTTTCCTAGAGGTTCTGCAGCCTCTCGAAGATAAGTACAAACGTCTCCGTACCGATCCGCAAGACTCTACTAAACCCGCTCATGACTCGTGAGACCTATGTAACCTAGGCTCTGATAAAACTCTGTCACGATCCAAAATCTAACCATGGTCGTGATGGTGCCTATCGTATTACAAGGCAAGCCTATTCCCAAAATATTACTACTAATTTGATTATAAGAATCTAATAAAACGTTTTAAATAAATTAAATCCTGATAAACTAAGCCAACTCTAAATATAAGTAATATAAAATACGGAAACGAGTCCCAAACATCAGGGTGTCACTAAGTCAAGAGCGTCTAAAACTATAAACTAAGATGTATAAACTGTCTAACTGTCCAAAAGAAGAAATGACAAGAGGAGTAAAAAGGTCCCGCGGACGCTAGCTACCTTGTAATCTCCAAAGATAGTCGTCCTGAACTCAATAATCGCCGCGCTCTAACTCATCTGGATCTGCATATAAAGTGCAGGGTGTAGTATGAGTACAACCAACTTAGTAGTAACAGAAATAACTGAGGAACTGAGTAGTAGTGACGAGCAAAGCAAAACAGTTGAATTATTTATTTTTCACAATTTTAAAAATAATAGGAATAAACAGGTAAATTCCATAACTCAGTAAATACCATAAAGAAATTTAACAGATAAATGCAGCAACAACAAAAGTAATTGCAACCTCACAACAATGTCACTCCATCACTCAGCACTCGCACTCAGCACTCAACACTCAATACACTCAACACTCTGTGCTCACTGGGGGTGTGTACAGACTCCGGCGGGGCTCCCAAAGCCCAAGCGCTGAGCACGGACAACTCACGTGCTACAATGTCAATACCTGGATCCGCACGGTCAACCCACGTGCTACGCGGACAACTCATGCGCTATGGTATCAATACCTGGACCCGCACGGTCAACTCACGTGCTACGCGGACAACTCACGCGCTATGATATTAATATCCTCACAACCAGGCCCTCGGCTTTACTCAATCATGTACCTCACTAGCCTCACCATCATCAACAAATAAGGGGACACAGCCTATATCAAGTATCACAGCATATTAGCAAATTATAGAGACTGAGGTAAACATGTACAATAATTTCTATGACTGAGTACAAAAAATGTAAGCATGAATAAAGCGTAAGCATGATCTCTAACATGAAGGCAGACAAGTTCAACAACAAGTAAATACGTAAACACATATGATAGCCATGAGGCCTCACGGGACGAACTAAGTCTCTATCCCTCGAGGTATACACCCACACGCCCGTCACCTAGCTTGGGTATCACCTCCAAATAGTCACACGATATCAAATTCTCCGGGTTTATACCCTGAAAGCCAGAGCTAAAACTATTACTTACCTCAACAACGTAATATCCTATTCCGGGATGCCCTCGTCTCTGGACTCGGTCTCAAAAAGCGCCAAGTCTAACAATAATCAGAATACTACTATCAACATAGTCTAAAGAATCGAATTCCACAATAAAAACTACATACACATGCCAAAAATCCAAAATCGGCCAAAACCCTGCCCCGGGGCCCACATCTGGAAACCAGTCAAAAATGACAGAATCAAAACCCTCGTCCTCTCCCGAGTCTAACCATATAAAATTTATCAAAATCGGACTCCGTTTGGTCCCTCAAATACTCACTTAAAACTCTCCAAAACTCAAACCCTAACTCCCTCAATTCACTTTCAAATAATCAATCAAATCCCAAAAACGAAGATAGATTCATGAAATATAACCAAAACCGAGTAGAGAATATTTACCCAATCCATATAATGAAAATCGCCTCCAAAATCGCCCAAATCCGAGCTCCCCAACTCAAAATATGACCGAATGAACAAACCCTAGTTTTATACATTTTTTTGTTAGCTATTCTATCTCGTTTCTCGTGCCAAACGATCCCGAAACTCGTATGTTATGCCTCCAAAGGATTCCTTGTTAAATTCTAATTAAGTTAGGCTTTTGAATCACTCAATTTGACCTTATAATGAATGAGATATGTAGGTTTTAATATTTGCAAATAGTGCAGATTTTTAAATACGCCGTCAGTGACAATTTCGTAATTAATCTGAAAAATCTGGCAACCTAATTCTTAGTAAAATGACCATAAAATCCTCATACGATGTCCAAATTCGACCATTCTTTTTGCTGCGGGTCCGTAATTACGATACAGATCTAATGCTTCAATCAAAAAATAAATCAGAGCTCGTTTGTTCAATATGATATCATTTATGCTTGAAGAAACGGCGTCGAAACATAAGAAAAACAAGCGCAACACAACCCAAACCTATTCAAAACTCACCCGAGGTCCTCGGGACCTCAACCAATAATTCCAACAAGTCATATATCACTACCTGAACTTAGTCGAACCTCCAGAACACCCAAAACAACACCAAAACACCAAATCAACCTCGAATTCAAGCCTAAGAACTTCTAAACTTCCAACTTTCGCCAATTCAAGCTTAATTCTACCACGGACCTCTAAATTACATTCTGGACACACTCCTAAGTCTAAAATCACCCAACAAAGCTAATCAATCATAAAAATCCAAATCCGAATTCGTTTACTCATAAGTCAACTTCCGGTTGACTTTTCTAACATAACTTTCTAACTAAGGGTGCGTTTGGTATGAAGGAGTTCCAAGAAAATATTTTCTTGAAAAACAAGTAGTAATCTTATTCATTTTCCGGTGTTTGGTACGCAAATTAAGAAAAATGACTTCTCAAGAGTATTCATAAATAATTCAGATATAATACACATGAAGCCATAAACTTTCAAACCAACAACCTTCCGAACCCACAAATTTCATAAACTTTCGAACCGCTAAACTTTAAAATCCGCGGAATTTCGATCCCGTAAACTTTATAATTTCTAAACTCCTAAACTTCTAAACACATAAACCTCCGAACTCATAATTTTGGAACTTCTAAAATTTTGAACCTTTAAACCGATAAACAAAAAAATTAAAACTGAAAAATATATTTAAAAAATATTTTTTTCGGGGGGGGGGGGTAG